ATCATTCTGTTCGAGTCTCTTAAGATGTTAAATTACTAAAATACCCTAGACATTCTACATTTCCAGTAAAGAATAAGGGTAATTTAGAAATATATATATACTTTTAGGATAAAATACTTATTTAAAAAGAAAAAAGAAATTGACCCTTTATGTGTTAATAAGGATAATATAACCCCTTTAACGATCTTGTAAGAGGTTTCATCCCCTTATTTGATATTTCCTATTAAAAAAGTCCTCTTCCCTTAGTCCCTACTATTTGCCATCATCGGCAAATTTATCAAAATGGATTTAAGATATGAGTTATTTAACATTTTACCTATCTATTTTGATTTAATTTTAATTTTTTTACGAAAGTAACGTGATTTTGAGTTGGAATAGTAGAAAAAGAGTAAAATGTTGAATAGTTGAAAAGTGAGGTGTATCCTAACACTTATCCTCTCTTACATTTTACGCATGTCTCTATTTTTTCAAGGGAAATTTATGTACGGACCGGGTTTTGTCCCGGTATAACAAAGTGGCTAAAAAATAGTATGTTATTACCTGGATGGACGGATCCCTGAATTATTTTTTACAAGTTTGCCACAATCCGATTTTTCAAACATCGGACCGCTTGATAACGCCTATACTTTCCATTTTTTGCCAAATTTTGAAACCGATAAAAAATTAAAATCCAAAAAGCAAAAATATCAACGCCGCTTCTTCTTCACCCCTCTCCCTTGTGTTAGATCTCTTTATTAATGATTAAATTTATACAAGACCAGTATAGATTTACGGCCAGTAACAATTAAAAATAAATAGATAAGTACCAACGGTTATGGATAATTACTAACTAATCTTATCACAATCAAGAGACACCTAATTAAGATATATACATATACATATCAATACACATATCCATATTGATATGTATTCATAATGATGTATATCAATATAGATATCCATACGCTAACACTCCCCTCAAACTCACGATGTTTTTACACAATGATGCAGATAAAATAATAATAATAATAATAATAATAATAATAATTTTTATTATTATTAGTTTTTTTGAGTTTATCTTTTAACTCAAAAATAGGAGGTGAGAGGCTTATCTGTTCAACAATGCTATGTAGCATCTTTTTGGTATGTGAGGTTAAGAGATATGGACGAGAGAGATAATAGGTTGAGAGAGAGAAAATAGGGAGGAGAGATAGAATAGAACAATGTTTTTCTTTTTTTTAGTCTATTTAAGGGAGATATCCCTTCGTTGTAAATTAGTGAATGAGTTAATAACATTGTAAATTAGTGAATGAATTAATAAAATTTTGGTCTCGTGAAGAGATTATTTTTTGGGTGGATTCCTTTATAGACCTTTGAGAGATGGTATATTATCTCAACTTTTTCTTTTTATTTGTTCTGGTTTGATTTTATCCCTGCATCAATTGGTAACAAAGCAAGTTAGATCTACTAATAGCAAGTTAGATCCAGATCTAGTGATATCTAGTTTGTTTTACAATGCCACCAAAAGTT